TGGGAGTCAGAAAACGCTATCTCATTGAAGTACACTTTCGAAATGAACCTTTTTTCAATTAGGAATTTTTAGGATTGTAACGTGGCCTGTTTCACGGTTTTTAAAAAAAAAATTCGGATCTTAAGGCTCAAAATTATTCGGTGCCCACCCCTTCATGATGTTTTCCAGTCCTAAGTTCAACTAACTTGACACGAATATTCATATCTCAAAAGAAATTTCGAGATGGTTGAGGAACCAATCGAGGTTTTCTTTGGACATGCTAGTCACTCACTTCTACTTTTGGTGTCTGATCACGCGACATATTTCTTTGTTAAGGATCTTCATCTCGTAATCCTTATCCGCCTTTCAGACTTTCCATAACTTATGCCTAAGAGACTTGTTTTTCAAGTTTCGACTTAGCGGGGCTTTTTGTCTTTTTCTTTCATCATTTCTTATTCATTTCATTTTTTCATCATTTTTTATATTACCCTTTCTTTCCTTTTGAACATGTCGCGTAGATTCGAGTCATTTTGACTTGTTGGAAGAATTGTAACTGCCCCATTTCTTGGTTGGTGAGGAATAACCATTGTGTATCATCATATACTGACCTCTTGATGTGCGAGAGATATCCATTGTGATATCTTCAATTGACGCACACTCCTGATAAGTGAAGGTTAGCCATTGTAGTTGTTACTTTCCTCGAACTTTTGAAGGATAACCATTGTTGTATCCTTAGACGCACACTCCTAATGAGTTTTGAATGCTCAATCAAATTAACTGAACACTACCCTGCCCTGGGTTAAAAATGAGGGTTTTTTCTGAATAGAAAATAAACTCCTACTTCAAGGCTCAAAGGGGTTAACGAGGGTTTCACTCCCTTATATCTCCGGTGCTTGGGGATTTGAAACAACGCATGTACATCATCAACAGGGTTTTATTCAAAAGCATACAACCGTAAATTTTGCATTTTAAATTCATTACCCTCCCTCCAATCTCTGCCTAGGAAAGAGAATGTGTAACAAGTTGGTCTCATAATGTAAAAAGTAGTTTAAAATTGAGAACAAATACGAGTGAAACGAATGGGTTTCTTCAAGACAAACATATTCATTATTTTAAGATAATCATTCAAATGCAAACAAATTCTTACATGCAATCAGTGCAATGATCAACAAGAAAAAATTGCAAATGAGAGATTATTAAAAGCTGCTAGTAAACTGAGAAGGCTAAACATTCTTAAACTCCAGGGTATCCTTCAATCATGTTTATTCTTTGGCAAAGACTTGACTTGAACATCAAGACAAATATCCTTAAATAAAAAGATACCACTTCTGACCAAGTTCTAGACTTCGGCTCTCAATGGATAACATTTTCCGATACTATGCCTAGGGGATCCCTAATGAAAGGCACAAGTCAAATTAGCTTTATAGTACCAAGGCATCTTCTCAGGAATCTTCGATGGAGGTCGGATATGAACCAAATTCCTCTGCATTAGGACAAGAAACAAATTTGTATAGGTCGTTGGAATTGGATCAAACTGAGTTTTCCTCTGATCAGAAACTTGTGGATTCTGCTGACAAAATGGAGCAACAGGAGGTAAATTGAACACAGGGATAACAAGAGAAACATGATGATTCTCACAATGATTGTTTCTTCCTCTGGTTCTCTTCTTAGAAAAGTTATTATCAAATTTCTTCACACCACTAGTTGAGCCACTATCTTCAGATAAACATTCCTTTCAGACATCCTCTTCTAAAAGCACTCACACATTCACCTTTTCTGGAAAATCACTGGGTGAATTGACTATCACCTTCTCATGAAAGAATGATTTCAGAGTTTATATGAAGAATTTTGCCATCTCTTCTTCCTTTCTAGAAGTATCGACTTGGGCGGCAACCAAAGTTTTAACCAAAGCAGTTAGATACTCCATATCAGCCTTCAAAGTAGTTACCTCTTTGCGGAGTTCGAAGATATCTTGCTTAATGTTTTCCATATTCTCTTAGGACGATTGTTGTATCGATGAGACAACTTGTTTCTAAAGACCAAAGGACCTTGAGTAAGGCTTCTAGGAACTCGTGAAACGCAAAATAAATGCAAAATGATGCATGACATGCAATACAAATGCCATGTTTTTGTTTCCAAGAGTTTATACGCTTTGATTATTATTATTAAACCATGGTATTTTTCTTAACAATGTTCATTTTTTAGCGACTTAACAATTGGAATCAAAGAAATGATGCCTGGAAATTAAGCAACATGTATGCTAATAATTACATTAACCTGCTATGTATGCGAACATGTGGGATCAAAACTTCTGCAATACTGGACAACTGCTGAACTGATAACAGAACCATAATCATGTGTAATAAGATCAAAGGTCCGAACTAATTTAGAATACCAAGAACCAAAGTCACCAACAGAACACGGTCACCATCTATACCTGTAAAGATTATTCATTCTTGCCCCGCTCACAAGTCAAAACTAGGTCAGGGTAAGGCAAAGGAAACTCATAATCATGGGTACGCCTGAAGCCAATATCGTCGAAACACCTACTTGAAAAGATAATACCTCATTTGTAATCTCATCTGAGCGTGGATGATATGACCGTACTAGAAAACCAAAATCGACTAGTCGTTCATGTTTGACTCTATTCCTAGGGTTCTTATGGTTGTTACTTGGACAGGGTATTGAGCCTTTTACCTCATTGTAGCACCCACCCAACATAGAAAACCAAAAGCCAGCACAACAAATAACCAATAGGGAAATCAATAAAATGCAATGCAAACATATGCTCAGATATATACAAATGAATAATCTATAAAGCATAAAGATAAACACCCGAATAAAGGAAAAACAAGAGCTAGGAGTGACTCACGGGATGGACCAACAATGGGATCCAATTTCCCCAGTGAAGTCGCCATTTTTCTGTAGCGGTAAAATCAATGAAGTCACCACTGAGTATTTATTTATCCCACATAAAGGGAAAGGAAAATCATCAAAGAAAAACCTAAAGGGAGAAATCAAGGTCTTGCGACCGAGAGATCGAGTACGAGAGTCGATTACGCGAGGGGAAGGTATTAGCACCCCTCACGTCCGTAGTACTCCACAGGATCCACTCTTGTTATTCTAATAAAAGGGTATGGTCAATCTAATGTTTAAGAGCTAAAAGAAAAAAATTGCTAAGAGGGATTGCATGCAAAGAAAACACAGGGAAAAGAAAGAAATATTTACAAATTTTTGCTCGACTGAGCCCCGTGACCAGATGCCTACGTATCCCTTTTAAGGAATCAGAGCGTTGTAGTTCGGCTCACAAATTTCTGTTTGTTTGTATTTTTTTTTAAATGAAAAAGGCTAAACTCAATCATTCCACCGCTGCTCGACCATTGGGGACTCACGCGTTGTAGTGGAAAGGAATCAACACGTTCTTAGAAGAGAAAAGTCGAATGGAGAAAATAAATGGATTGGTTGGTGGTTTTTACCATGAAAATACTTTTTGTATGCTTAGCATTTTTTATACATTTTCCAAGAAAAAAGAAATTTTAGTTTTAAATGCAATTATGCAAAACGGGAAGAAAACAATCTAAGGAAAACTAGCCTATCTCTAACATAGTGTTATCATACAATGATGGCCCTATGTCGAGGATGAAAAGGGAAATCTCTAACCTATTTTAGCATGCATGGATACCTATCCTAATGTCTAGATCGAAAGCTATTCTAATTGAGTGATCTTAATGGAAGCATACAAATTCCTATTCTAAGGGAACACGGTATAGCAAACAAATAAGCAAATAAGTACTTTGGTAAAAGCACACAAACATAATTAGCACATACTGACTCAAAGGGATGAGGGAAACAAGAGAAATGATTTAGCTAAAGGGAGCGTATCACCCGAAGTAAATAAACGAGAGGCAGATGAAATAAAAAAGAAAAGAAATGCTTTACTAAGGAGAGCGTATCACCCGAAGCAAACAAGCGGGTAACGGAGTATCAGTAATGACCATTGCGAACTCCTAACAAAGTGTAGGGGTTAACTGTGAACCCTTCTCCACATGACCGACTTGATACACAAGATATGCACGACTCTGAAGTATCTACGTACAACGTGAGCTAAAGATGACATGGACTAGAATATGCAGGGGTCGATTACGGACCCTCCCTGCTTGCCTCCTTTTGAGGACTTGTCATCTATAATATAATGCGGGCACAAATGTAAACATACGTGCAAAATACCTACTTCAAAGGTAGGATTTTAAACAAACACAAATAGCATACAGAAAGCGGTGCCTGCTACAGGACTTTAAACAGTGACTTCGAGCGTACACTCTTTATTTCCTACTTATGATGTCTAGAAAGCATTAAAGTGCATAAATATAAATTGGAAGCAGTATAATACCAAACGAACAATAATGTCCGCAAAAAGCACAACCAAAGCAAAGAAACCCAAAATACTTCGCGCGAGCTGACATTAACAAACAAACAGTCAAAGATCGAATATTTAGAATATGTATCAAAGCATCATCGATGTGAAAATAAATCACAATCAGAAACTCAAATATGTCCACATATCAAACATTGAACCTGTATAAGACTTAACTCAACAAGCAAAGGTGAATCACAAGTCTCAAGTAATCGAAAAATTAGAAATTAATTTCATAAAATCAAATAAAAAGCCTAATTTTTTTAATTGATTTGGTAGTTTATTACCTAAAAAAAATAAAGAGGAATTTCTAAAATCTACATTTTTTATTTATTAGTTCCTAAAATCACTAATTTTTATTAAAAAGAAATGAGAAAGAAAATCTAAGGAAAAATCTAAAATTCTAAATAGGAGGGGTGAAAATATGATTTCAGAGGTACACAGGTGGAAGGGGTGTTGGCCCAACAAACTTGGTCCATGAAGAATTTTTTTATACCCGCTCCATGTGCTTAGAAAAAAACGTGTAACAGGCCTATAGCAAGGGAATAATGCGGTCTAGGCCTTAATCTTTTTGTTTATCTCACAATGGGTTAGGCTGCCAAAAACAATGCCTTGGGCCGCAGCTAGCAGTAATTCGGAAGCCCAGCTCAACCATGCCGATCCACGTTTTTTATTGTTGCATAGAGAAAAAAGAATTAAACAAAACAATTATAAAAAAAGGGAAAGGGATGAGGGTTCAAAAGGTTGAGACATATCAGCTTTCTCAAAACACAACACTCTCTTCTCAAGCTCATTCGCCTTCTTCTCAAACACCAGCGCTGCGACACTCCTTTTCTCATCTCTTTCTTGAAAACAACGGCCTCAACCTCCTCACCTCCTCCGCTTAGACTCTGTTCTTCACTCAGCTTCATCAACGATATCACATCACCAACACGCGTCTGTTCTGCTTCGCTTCCAACCTCCCGCATTCGATTTTCCTCAAAATCAAATTCAAACTAACAAACGGAAATCACAGAAGAAACGAGGAATCTTTACCTACCGAAGGGTCGTTCGGTGCATCATCGAATCGAAAGGTATCTCGTTATTTCCGCTCTCACGCTTTCGATTCTGAAACTTATTTCTTCATTTTTCGATTCTTTGCCCATTGTCGTGTTTTGTTGATTATGGATTGAACCGGCTCGCTGAAGTGTTGTTGATGTTTGTTGTTGATTCGCATCAATGATGATTCTTGTGCAGAGATAAAGATTGTTGAGATGTGTTGAAGGCCAGAAGAAGATGTTGAGAAACAGATGGAGATGATTCAAAGAAAGGATATGGGGAAGATGAAGATGAATGGAATGAGATGCTGAGAGAGAAGAATTGAAGATGAAATTTATAGTGATTCTCCTAAATTCTTGAAGAATCGAGAGTGCTTGCAGAGAGAGTTGAAAGGTGAGTATTCCTGATTTTCTCTGAATTTTGTATATGAATCTTTGTGAATTTCAGAGTGAGAGAGGTTGAGGATTTTCTGTGGTTTTTCTACAGAGATATTTTTGGATGGTGATTCTTCTCAAGGATGTGAAGAAGGAAGGCATCAAGTAGTTTTTTTTTGCTTTATGGATGTTTAAAATTAGGAAAGTTAGTTAGAGTTGAATTGATCTGAATTGTTAATGTGAATTTCTGTTAGAGATTTGGATGGTTAGGATCAGAGTTAGTTGCAGTTGAGTAAATCTTATCTCTTGATTGGAATTTCTGTCGAGCTGGGAAATTCTGTTTGTACTAGGTTTTATTGATTCATGATTTCTATTATGACAAACTATCATTATGAGTTTGTCAATTTCTGACTTAATCGGTTTCTTTCCCCTGATATTCTCTCATTTTTAATTTCTGTTCTGCTAGTTTTTTGAGTGAACTCACACTTTTTCATATTTGCAAGGATCGACTGGATTTTTTAGTTTTGATGTTAACTGATTTTATGTAATTTCGTGAATTGACTATGGCAGGTTTATTGTTAGACTAGTATGGATCAAAACAAGTCTGACTGGTTTAATTTGGGTAGTTTGGATGCAGATTGAACTTTTTGCAAGTTCATTTGGTTTTGTTTAACATTGTCAGAAACACTCGCATCCTACTGAGACGCAATAGGTAGCGTCACTGGTTTGGTAGGTTCAAGATCAAAACATAACATCTTTCCACATGTCAACAACTCTGAATTTTTTTGCGAGGGTCATAAGCCCCTTCTTTATAAACATGGGCATCATCATGCATGACAAACTTTCTATTATCTATTTTTGAAACTCAACAATTTCTGGAAGTTGGTTGGATGGCATGCCTTTAATCGCTGCTTCATGATATTTAGTAGTTGAGAATAAGATAGATTTTGATTGTATATTTATCTCATGCGTTATTTTTTTTGTAATATCTTCTAGCTTTCATGTAATACTTGTAATCCAAAACATCTTTGAATTAATAAAAGTTTCACTCCCCTTGTTTTTTATATTCAGGCTCAAATTCTCCTTGGAATGAAATCTTCCATAAGGTCTTGTCACCAAGTTAACCTTGTATGCCATTCTTGATACTTGAAAATTCCACAAGAATACATCCATAAAAATTGATTCAAAAATCAACTAAAAGACATGTTTGAACCCTTGATGAAAACCTATACCAATGCTCGAATTCCATTTTCATAATGCTTTGTATTTGAAACAACATTTGATTGAAGAAACTATCCTTGCACCTTGATGCTTGTTGTATCCCAAAATTTACCCTCCCGTTTTCCACTCAGGATGCTATCCCCAGGGTTCTTCAAACCCTCAATTTGGCTCAAAAGTTGATCAAGCAGATTCTCTTCCTAGGCAAACAGTCAGCAATTAGGGTTTTGTATTTCCTCAAAGAAATTTGAGCCTTTTAAGGTTTCAAATGGTCTTCTTAGGAATTCATGTCCCCTCAAGGATTGTTTAAGTCAGTCTTCAAACCTCGCATTGCAAATTTGCTCAAGCAACGGGCCAGATAATTGAAAACGACTACATTGACTTAAAAAAAATATAACCCTTTTGCGAGAACAAATTCAAGATTTTTGAATGGTTTCTTGCGTATAATTTTCCTTGATGCCATCTCAAATTTCTCTTCACAAATCAAGAACTGATTACGCACAGAAGATCACCAAAAGATTTGAATGCGTTGGAAGTCGCATCATGAATTTTGACCTAATTTCAAATAACAGTCGTATGATTGCTAAGAATTTTTACTGAAGGACTGACGATTGTTCTCAAAAGCGTGTTTATCTAGACAGAGTATGAAGATTAAGGCTATCATTTAAAACAATCATGATTGTGGATTCAGGTTGGTCAATTGGGTTACATTCTTAAAATATTTATTTTGTTTAGGAATTGGAGTATAAGGCACAGGTTTGTTTGAGATGCAGTTATAAAGTCAGTTGTGATCATCAGGAATTCAAATAAGTGATTTGGAAAGTGTTTTTCAATAATTTCAATTCAATTTCATTTTCATGGCACAAGGTGTTGTGGAACTCATTCATGGGATGTTTGAAGAATTCAAATTTGAATTTCAAGAGATTTTGCATACTTTTAGTATCATTAGGGATTGTTTGTTTGAAATACAAATTGGAAAAAATTACAATATAGCAAAATGGATACAAATTTGTTCTAAAAAAAGGTAAACTACAAAGAAGTTTTCTTCAAAGTCTTCATCAAACACTTCAAGCTGCTCCTCATCAACTTCTCCTATTGCCCATTGGTTTTCTCATCCCATGAAACAAAAAGAGAAAAGATCTTGTTAGTAACATAAACATGAGCATAAATTTACAAACAAAAAAAGAGTTTGGTGAATTCATCACTAAGGTTTGCTTTTAGGGATCAGAAATTGTGGGTTTATCATCATCTATTCCCCCCATTGCAAATCACAAAAAATCATCTTTCTTGGTTCACAAAAAGAGAGAAATAAAGCTACAAGACAAGCAAATACAAACAAATTTCCGAAACTGTAACACAAAAACTACAAGGCTGCAAACAACAACAATCAAATACAAAACAACAGACCAAATACAACCTACAACAAGCAAGACAACATACTGCTATATTAAGCAGCACTTAGCAAAAAAACAAGCTAACAAATAGAGTCAATAAAACCTGCAACATATACATAAGCCCACAAAGCAGAACAAATAAACATAAACGAGCTAACTTTCTCACATATCATCATTTCCCTGTTATCACAAACCCTTCAAAAGTTTTGTAAAGTAAGCAGAGACTACTTTTGTTTCATAGAAAGAGAAAAAAAAAGAGATGAAAGAGACACCACCTAGCCTGCATAATAACCATGCTAAAACTGTCAAGTTGCTGCTATCCTGCTGCAAAAAACATGTTGCATAAAACACTCTAAGATATACAGAAAACAGCCTGCCATTTTGTCCACAAACAGTCCAAACGTTGCATAAAAATGGCAAATAAAAAAAGCTGCATTAGAAAGCATCGAGACAGTTAGCCAATTGACTTCAAAAATTCACAAAAGAAAACCTTCCTTCCACCAATATAAGGCCACTGTTTTCGTAAAACAGGGGGACATCCAAAAAAGTCCAGCAACAAACCAGAAGCCAAGCAAAAATACGAACCAAACCAAAGAAAACTAGCAAAGGGGAAGAACACGATTCATACAGAAAATACGGGAGCTACGCAACAACCCTGACCCCAATACTATCATAATTTGTTCTAAAAAAAACACACAAACCATTCAGGAATCAATCGACGTTGAGAAGAAGACTCGAGTCAAGAAAGATATTACCAGGAGCCATAAGAATTCTGTGAACTCACAGATTCGAAGTATTAGAGTACCGATCTCTTCTCCTTTCCTTCATTTCTTACTCTCTCATTCCTTTTATTCACCATTCATGTATATTACATTGTGAACATCTGAATTTGTCTGCTTCTGAAAATTAGGTTTTCTAACCCCCTTTTCAAGATCTATGCAAATCCATTTTTTTCCTAAAAAACAAGTTGTGGGTTAGTAATGAGGATGAAAAGATGGAGAGAACAATGAAAAGAAAGTAAGAATCAGTACCTTCCTTGGCGCCGCTGCCGTGATGTTTATCAGAGCCACCATGGGTTCTTCATCTTTGTCGTCCATCTTTATACCCTCCACTGTCAACCTTCATGCCCTCCACCGTTGATTCTTGGTTCTCCACTGAATGGATCTTTCCTTGTTTTTCTTTTAGGGTTTAAATTGGAACATTGATAGAAAGAGAGAACGTGAAGGGTTGGAGAGAAGTGGCTTCCTTTTTTTTTGGATTATAATTCTTCGCCAATTATTCTGGTGTTTTGTCAATTAAAACATGATCAACATGCTAACCTAGCGGCGACATTTGTCACTGTTTTTTATTTAATTATTTCTTTTATGAATCCTATACTAGTGTTCCAGCATAGCATGTCATGTACTTTCGCTCACAGCCACCTGATGATCATCAGATATACCAAATCCATGTACCCATGGTACACCTCTCCGGGAGCAGTCCATCAGATCCCATGCATAAGCCTTATTGGGCCTGGATTCCATCATGTTGTTCTACACCCCCCCAGATTGCTTCAAACAGGCCCATTTTCTAACCCTTTCTCTTATTTTATTATTTATATTTGTTCAGTTTTATTTTTATATAATATAAAAACACCAAAAAAATACATACAATTTAATTTCTTTCAATCAATTATTTTCTTTTCCTAAATAGAATAGGTTTTCATTTTATTTCCAAATTTCTCACTAAAACAAAAAAAAAGAATTTTATTTCCTTATCTTTATTTTGTTAATTAATTTTACTTCATAAATTTGTTGTAATTTCGATTAATTGCTCAATTTGATTTGGTTGTATTGTTGGCCTATTTGGACATTTAATTGTACTAATCCATCCCCATTAGTAAACTTGTATCCCCTATTCCCAAAAGCTCTGTAATAGCGTAGAATTTTAATTCCCGCAATTTACTGTTTTCCTTATACTGTATAGTAATTAGGCGTTCATGACAAGATTTAAAATCAATCGCTAGATAACCTAATCAAAGAGCAACTTAACTTGAAACAAACACACTTTTTCACACGCGCTCCTTCTAGGGTAACCTCGCTTGTCGCCTCGGAAATACAGTCATGTCCCTCGAATATGGGACGTTTTAGCAATGACCCTTCGATAAAAAAGATCGTAGTCCCTCGATGACCCTCGAAGTTGCCTTCAATAAAACAATCCCGTCCCTTATGAAAATTGCTAAAACGTCTCATAAGTTGCTTTCGATGACTGTAAAATTGACCCGCGCCTGTCCCTTTACATCCAACGATGGGGCTTCCTACCAAACTAATGGTAAGATAGCAACATTAAAAGGAGGAAGAAAAGAACAATTGAAAACCTTTCGAGTAGGTAGATTCGCTCCCAGTTACTCGCTTGCTCACGACAAAAACATTTTACACCAACACTTTTATCTCAAAACATTTTCAAAAGACAAAACCTTTTGTATACGTTCTTATAGAGACGAGAACCATTGCAAAACATCTTTTCAAAACACTTTCAAAAAACACATTCCACAAACACATCTTTGAACCTTTTTTTCGAAATAAAACTTTGTACGCGTTCTCATAGAAATGAGAACCATTACAAAGAAATTTTTCAAAAACACTTTCAAAGCCCACACCACAAGTACACTGTCAAACAAAAGCAAGTGATCTAAAAGAGTAACT